ATGGGAAGAAACGGGGCAAAGGGGAAGGGGAAGTGGGAGGGGTAGGGGAAAGGAAAGAAGGGAATGGAATTAATATGAGAAAATGGAAACAAAATGTTTGTAAATAGGGAGGGATGGAGGGGTTGAAGGGAGGGCAGGGGAAGGAGGAGAAATAAGATCCAAGAGAGATTATGTAAAGGTACAAATTTCCAATGATAAATGTCATTATATTGTATACCTAAAATGTACCAATAAAATAATTTTTTTTAAAAATCAGCACTATGTGGGGAAAGTAAAACACATAAAGAAAGGCAGCATGGGTTTGGCCTTTAGGCTCCAGGTCATTTCCACAGGTCTAAAGTGTTATTTCCTATCTACAGAAATCATACCACCATCAAATCACCATCAAATCATCATCATCATCATCATCATCATCATCATCATCATCATGACCTTCACAACAATAACAATACTTAGCACTCCTAAGTGCTTATTATGTGCTAATCACTAAGCTAAATTTTCCATGGATTACCTCAATAAGCCTTTATCAACATTGATGGGAAGTATCTCCCCTTTAATGAACAGTCATGCACACCCAGATCACATAGCCAGTAAGTGGTGATGCCAGGATCCAAATGGGTCCAGGGTTTACATTTTAAACATTCTTTTAAAAAGCAGGACTCTTCTCATTTGCATTTCTTAAAAAAATAAAATGAAGTGATTATATTAAATAATTTCTCAGGATATTTTTAGTTAACAAGTTCAATAGCTCTGACTCCATAATATAGCTCCTTGATGTGTAAAGGCATTAGTATTTACACACATCAGTCACAGATGCCCTAATAAGAATTATCTGATCAAAGAATTGCATGAATGCTAATGAAATAATCTTTCTTAAAAGGTAGCACTGACACAAATAAATGTATAATACAATGTTTATCTTCACTGCAGTAGAAAGTTTATTTCTCCATTTTACCTTTTGAAAGATGAGTGAAAGTGCTCAGAAATTCTTCGTATGTCTGCTCATGAGAATTAACAAACTTATCCAAGACTTCTTCCATTAATTGATCTTCATCCATTATCTCCAATCTCAATATCTGGGCAGGCATTCTTATTCATGAAGCCACTTTATCTACAAGATAAAGAAAAACACAAGCTAGGGAGAATCGTGCAGCATCAGCCCTTCCAAAAATAATTCTGGGTGGGCAGTGGAAAGCTTGGAAGGCCCAGAAAGGACAGGGCAAGAGAAATACTAAACCAATGTACTCCTGTTCAACTACAGATAGTTTTACTCAAATCTTTGCTGCTGAGTTCATGGCAACAGTTTGGTTTTTTGCTTCTGTTTCCTCATTACCACCTTCTTAATTCACCAGAATACTGTCACATAATTGCACAATTAGAACTTCAATGTCAAGCTAAGAGGAACTGTAAAGAGCACACCAACTAACCACCACTGACAACAATGGTATCCTATATTTATTAGTGACTTACTTAGCACTCCCCAAACCAGCTGCTGTTCTGAGCAATTTAATGTTAATTATCATCACTCCAGTTAAGGCCACAGAGCCAGCAAGGTAGAAAAGTCAGGTCTAGGAGTCTGACCCCAGAACTTATGTCCCTAAACCCTTCCTTAGCTTCATTCTGTCCCAAGTGACCTACTCTCTTGCACTACTGCTGACAAAAAAAAGATGACTTACCTGTGTTTTAATACAACTGAGGACTGGAAACTCGGGAAAACCTTTGGACAGCTCTATTAAAAATTTTTTAAATTGAGACTAAATCTGTCTTCCTGTACCCTACCCCAACTGATCCTGAGCCTGTGAGGCTGCACTGAATAATATCAATTCTTCTTATACCTGATACTCTTTCAAATAGACAGTATAACCGAAAAGTATGGTGAATGTTACACCCAACATGTACTGATACAACAATATTTTAAATTGTTACAGTAAAAGACACGGTGCCATTAACCCCTCTCAAAATACTTTCCCTGACTTCAAACACACTTATCCCATCATTCTTGCCACTTTCTGAAGCAGTTCCGGATGTCCTCTTTTGTGAATGCCTTTACTTGTGCTGTCCTGTCTGCCTTGATATCCTGAACTGATGACCTGTTATGGTCATTTTGGTCTGGTGAATGAGGTGGGTGACGGCATAACATAATGTTTTAATGACCCTGCCTTTCTGTCGGATGATACTCCGGGGCAGCATTCACTGTGTTTTTGATCACACTTCATAAAGACACTCACTGAAACATATTTCATTTTCAAAATCCAGCTCAGAGTTCAGGTTCCCTCTGAAGGCCTGACACCCACCCCGTCCCGCCCCATCTCCTATCACCATAGGAAGAGTTAGCTGTGATTTTTCTGTGCTGCCTCTGGATTAACTGTGTGCTGCCATCTGTCAAGCTTTTGCAAAGAGTGCACATGGCTTTATCCTTTATACACTCAGAGCCCAGGAAAGGCAAAGTCTACATCTTTTCACCTCTGTATCCTAAACACTGGGCCCTCAGGATGTGGCAGAGACTGGTAGCCTATAAACACTGGACTGAAATTACTCATTTGAGATGGTAAGAGAGTGAAATATTGCAACAAGCTGACAAAACACTCAGCTAAGCTTGCCCGATGATGTCACATGTGCCACCAGGACATGATTTCAAATCCTTCACCCTCTCTCAGCCCTTCTGCCTAGAAAAGATTTCACATTGCTTGCATCCCTTTAAAATATGAAATCCAGGCCAGGGATTTAGCTCAGTGGTTTCACCACCTGCTGCAGAAGCACAAGGACCCAAGTTCGATCCCCGGTACCAAAAAAATAAAATTCTATATATATATATATATATATATGAAATCTAGCACTGGAGACATGACTCCAGCCATGGTCTAGATACAGTGAGATCTGACTCCTTGTCACATTCTAAATACTGTGTTCCTATGACAGAGCTGAAGATAACATTCACATTGCTGGTGGCCCCTTCACATTGTCAGTTCACTCAGCATATTGCTAACTAACTGCCTGTCAGCCAAGACATGACACCTTAACCCTGGCTCAGCTTGAACTTTATATTCCACAGGTGATATTTCATCTTGCTAAGCTCCACTCATTCTGTACGAAATGCTATTCTTATGTACCTCTGAGAAAACTACAGAAAACAGACGAATAATTACACTGCCCAAGTAGCCAGTGTAATGCATGAATGACAACAAAAAGAAGGGGTCCTGCATACTGTGTGGCAGGAACAGTGGGCACCAAGCTTTTTAGTTTTCTGAAGCAACATTAAAAATTTGTTACCTGTCATTAGCTTTTTCCTCCCACTTTTCCTTTACACATGTATTTACCATTTAAAAATACAAATAACACAGATGGGTATATGGCAAAAATGTAAAGACATTCTTAATTATCATGACCCTGTATATCCTACCCATCAGAGGTGTATTCTGTCAAGAATCTAATGCATTCTCTTTAATGTATATATATAACAATAGAAATTTTTCCAAAAAATGGCACAGTATTATATGTGTTATTCTTTACAAATGAATATTTTTCTGGTGCTAGAGGCTGAGTACCTTTTTAATTTAATGAGTTCTCATAGAAACATCACCACTTTAGTATGTATAGACCTAGCTGGTCTTTCAAACTGCTATAGTCATAGCCCTGCTTTGCCCTTTACACTATAACCATGGACAGGTTTCTTGACTTCTCCAGGTCTGTTACTTCTCTATAAAAAGGGTTTATAGGGGCTGGGGATTTAGCTCAGTGGTTTCGCCGCCTGCTGCACAAGCACAAGGACCCAAGTTTGATCCCCAGTACCAAAAAAAAAAAAAGAGGGCTTATATATTAGTACAGTTTTCTATTTCCTTAACCTCAATTTCAAAATACCAAAAAGCTGAGAAAAGGACAAAAATGTTTTCTTAAAATGAGGCTCAAACTCATTTGGTGGCCAGAGCTGATCTGAATTAACATGAGAGTATTTATGGTCTTTATTTATTCTGTTCAGTGTAACTATTCACATCTGCCTGCAGAAATACTAATGGCCTTGCAGATGAGGTGCTTCCCCGGCCCCACTGGAGAGCAGTATATTATATGGCATCTGCACTAATTACCTTTCTAGACTCCAAAAACATTGTGTATTCTGGAAAGTAGCCAAACCAAAGGATTTTAAATAACTAATTGTGAAGCTACATGTACCTCACAAGAATGTAATAAGGATTAAGTGAGGATGTGCCTTAAGAAATGTTAGAGATGATGATGATGATGGTGATGATGATAATGATGATGATGATAAATAAATCTTAATATTCTGCCCTTTGTCTGCCCAAAGATTTCTTATGATTGCAACCATTCTCACTTTAAATGCATACTTACCTAAGATAAATCAAGATAATTCCTCAGGCATTATAAGACAAGATAAAACATGGTGTCATAATAGATTGAGTGAAAGTGAAAAGCATATCTAGTACTACCTCCAAGAGAAAGAAATTGTTTCGAGCTATTTGTACCTGAAAAATTAGATGTATGAAAAATCATCAGTAACAGTTTATCCAAATTTATCTGTAACAATGGCAGGCTTCAGCAATGCAAAGCTTACTAAATTATGCTTGCAGTTGCTAGATTATAAATACCAATAAATAACCTTAAAGGTGGCTATTATTTTACTATCAGTAAGACATGTAATTATTTATAAGAATTTCAACATCTATCTACTTTTCCAGCATTAGACCCTAGCAAAATTCCAACAGTGCATTGTATCATTCTCTTCTTCAAAGCATCTCTGGCATCTACTTCAGGGAACAAATAATACTGAACAAAAGCAGCCAGCCTGTGATTTGTATTGCTATAAATGTCTTCTTCTGGACATTTTAATAATGGTAATAGAAATTCCTTTAAATTTTCTTCTCAATTCTCAAACTGCCATATTTTGAATATTTACTCTCAACGTATTTCAATAGTACCAAAGGCAAATCATAAGCAGGCTCTTCATTATTAAAATTAAAGGCCTTTAATTTTATGTGTAGGGTTATAATACAAAATTTTACTGATTATTTGAAAGACTTTTAGAATACACAAACTGTTATTACTTGAAGAGTTTAACAAATATCTACTGTCAAATTTAGAACTTTCCTAATCTATAATAACACAAATAACTTAATGTTAGAGGTCTCCAGGGAGTGACACAGCAGAGAATCACTTACGAGTCATTCAAGTGGTTTATGTAAATCCTGGTGGTTTTCTAGAAGGAAGTAATGCTTTTTCAGTTACCATTCACATACCTTTGTGTTTTCACCATGAAATATTTTTCTAAAAGGAAAGAAAGACACATTATTTAGGTTTGGTTTTTTGTTTTAAGGCTTTGGGTACCACATGAAAGACCCAGAGCATATTGTAATGACAAGTAAATGTATGTAAATATCTACTGTGACATTACAAGCAACACTTTGAGTCACAGCCCCCCAGAAGGAAACACAGGATACATGCGTGACTCTGCGTGGACAACTGAACTCCACTCAGAGGCCAGGAGCCTGGTTAGGAGTCTGGTTCTCTTACCAAGTCACTGAGAGATAAGGAGGAAATCCTGTTTTCTATAATGAAAGAATGAAACAAACAGTAATCTAAGCTAATTAATGTTGTGTACTCTCTGAACGTACACCATTCTGAAATATGGTATGTAAAATTATCACTACTGTCTTAGCACATCTTTAATATTGATCTTCAAGACTCTGCTTCATCAACTTAGGCAAGCAAAATACAACTTTCCGAGACAACAATGGTAAGCTTTAAAGAAGCAAGTCGCTGAATGAGTCTTCTCTCAAAGTGTGCTAAGAATCTACCGCTATGATGAAAAGAAGATGATATATTATCAAAATAATTCACCTTGCCTAAGGAAAGGACACCGTCACCCTTGGTACTTCACTGGCTGGCTGTCCTTTCACATTTGCGTCAAATCTCCAAAAAATCAAATTGCACTGTAACTGCAGATTCATGTATGTGATAGAAAAGACAGGGTATGAATGGATTTCTTCTTCCTTGACTAAACTATAAAGATTCTACATCCTCCAATTTCTTTTATGTCTTTTACATCATATTAAAAGAAAAAGAACTCCACTGACAGAAATTCAGATCGTCTTGAGTTGAGAGAAACCTGACACTAACCTAGTTCAATCCTATGGAATAAATGAACGAATCTGGGAAAGAAATTTCAGGTGGGGTTTTTAGCAATGAATGACTCTACTGGCAATCAGTAACATGTAGTTCTCTCATCATAAACAGTAATGAGATCCCATGACTATGAACTTTACAGTACACATGAAGCCAGCAGGAAATTAAACATAAAGCAGTAAACTCACTGTGGTTGGGTGTACCTATGCCTTCAACTGCATTCTAAACCACAGAAACAGAAAAAACATCTTGAGTGTGAACATATATGTATGCTTTCTTTTTAGACATTTACAATTACACCCAAGAAAACAAAGAGATAAAAGGAATAGTGAAGAAGCCAGACACGTGAAACAATGCATATCTTATAAAACAGAAAAGAACCTAAACCCTTTCATTATTTTTTTATCAAGATGAAATAAAAACATATGATTCTAGCTTCAAAGAATGCACTGCAGTTCAAGTTATAAAGTTCTACTGACATTTTCTAACATGTAAAAGGTATGGAATGTTTTAATATCTCCAAATAAGTTGGTGTAAACATCTATATTTCTATATAAATTCCCCTAAGTACAGCCCTCTGCAGTGACTATTAAAGGAACTATTCAAGGAGAGATTTTAAAAAAAACAAAGCTTTGGGATTAATGTTGACTACAAAGTTTTAAAAGGGATACATATTTTCTACTCAGGTCTTACAGGTAGGACAAAATCTTAAGGAAAAGAAAGAAAACATATCTGTACTAAAAACTGCACGTAATTTTAAAATGTGGCTCAGCACATGGTTACCATGAATACAGATATCACAACTGTTGCCTTAACAGATCTAGTTCCTTCCCTAAAGAGGTTATAATTTACATATTGAATATGTAACATTTTCAACAGAAATGACTCTAATGAACCATCCCATGATTAGTTTAAAATTAGAGCAATATGGAATTGAGTGACAATATTTTAAAATGAAGAAAGTAATAGGAATAAGAAAAATAAAAACATAGCAAGGCAGCCAAGCATGGTTATGCACACTTGTAATCCCAGATACTCTGGGGGCTAAGGCAGAAGCATTATGAGAGTTCAAGTCCAGCCTAGACAACATAGTGAAACACCATCTCAAAGAAGAAAGAATGAGGCCAGGGATTTAGCTCAGTGGTGCTGCCACCTGCCTCACAAACGCAAGGTCCTGAGTTTGATCCCCTGTACCAGAAACAAAAAAAAAAAAAAGAAGGAAGGAAGGAAGGAAAAAGAAAAATGAAAGGAAAAAAGAACAGAAAGGAAAAAAGAGAAAAGATAGTTTTGTAAATGGTAAGGGAACCAAGAGATGAAGGGAAGGGAAGGGAAGAGAGAGGAAATGGACAAAAAATAATTAAGATGTGTTATGCACACGTACCAACTTCCCATGATGAATATAATCACTATGCACTATAAATATGTACTAATGAAAAGTAAAAATTTAAGGAAAAATAAAATTACTTTTTAAAAAAGAACAGAAAAGATAGCAGGGCAAAATAGATTTTATTATAAAGGAAACAAACCATAGACAAACTTGATACAGGACTAGGCAAAGAGTTCTTAGACTTAACTATAAAATTTCTGATCCATTAGGAGAAAAAAATGATGAACTGAACTTCATCAAAAAGTTTTTTAAGCAAATACCCTGTTAAAGAAAGTGAAAGGAAAAAGTTGCAGGCTTGGAGAAAATATTAATAAATCACATATCTAATAAAAGACTAGCATCTAGAACGGTGATGGCGAACCTTTTAGAGCTTTCAATGATACAAACAGCCCACTACAGCACGCATGCCATAGGTTCACCACCACTGATCTAGAATATACAAATAGCTCTCAAAATTAAATCCAATTAAAAAGGAAACAAAGGCATGCACAGACTGTCCACTGAAGAGGATATATACTCGTAAACGGCAAGTAACCATGGGAGGAGATCATTGGTATTGGTAGCCATTAGAGATATTCAGATCACCATTCGACACCACTACATGCCTACCAAAGTGGCTAAAATGAAAAATAGTGATACCTCAAAAGGCTGGCAAGGATGCAGAGGAATTAGGTAACTCATACATTGTGGGTGGCAATATGAAATGATTCAGCTACTCCAGAAAATAGTTTGGCAGTTTGTTTGAAAACTAAAAATGAACTTACCACACAACCTAGCAATTGCACTATTGGGCACTTATCCCAGAGAAATAAGAACTGATTTTCATGCAAGAACTTGTACATGAATGCTCATAAAAGCTTGATTCATAAAAACCACAACCTGGAAACTATCTGAATGTCCTTTAATTGGTGAATGGTTATGCATACCATGGTGAATCCACACCAAAGAATACTATTGAGCAATATAAAAGAAAAACTATCAATTCATGTGACAACTTGTATGAATCAAAAAAAATTGTACTGAGTGAAAAATGCCCGCTTCAAAAGACTATGCATATGTACCTGTGATTCCATTTATATAACATTTGTAAAATAATATAATTATAGAGGTGAAGAATGGATTCCATGGTAGTTGGAGAGAGGAGGGGTGGATATCAAGAAGTCTTGTGTACGGCTGGATACCTTTATTGTGGTAGCTGTTAACATGATATAACTGAGCTATACACACACAAATGAGCATGTGCATAACTGGAAAAATCTGAATAAATGCCATATCAGTTTCCTAACTTTAATATTATGCTACAGTTTTGCAACATGTTAACCTTGAAGAAGGCTCGACCAAGGGTTCATGGAACTTCCCTGTACATTTCTTTTCAACTTCTTGTGAATCTACCCTACGATTCTATGATTATTTCAAAATTAAAAGTTTAAAAACGGGGAGAGTGGAGCAAAGAAGGAAGGTAAACCAATTAAGACAAAAGATAATTAGGAAGAGAAAATTATCACTAAATTATTGAGAAGCCAAGCATGGTGGCACACTTCTATAATCCCAGGACTCGGGAGGCTGAGGCAGGATGATCATCATGACTTCAAGGCCAGGCTGGGCTACCTAGTGAGTTCAAGGCCATCTGAACTACTATAGCAGGACCCTGTCTCAAAAAAAAAAGAAAGTGGATTATAGACGTAGTTCAGCACACCCCCGGTGCAATCCCCACTATCGCAAAAATAAAAGTTGACTGAGAACGTTGGATCTCAGGTGTGTTGTTATTTCCCCCTGCAGAAAGCAGTGGGGAATGGGACTAACACTAATCTATAAAGTGCCGAGCTTAGGCAGAAACTTTCCCCTTGAAAGATTTGCTTTCCTTTCCTGCTCATCCACCCAACCTAGTATAATGAGGTTTCTGGAGGTTCTCATTCATTAGGCCTTTCTGTCCATCAGCAGATTGCATTAAAATCAATTTTAGCTTCCCAAAATATATACTTCCTCCCAGCCATTTAAGTCAACCCAGAAATGTCTGCATTGACTCACTGAGGCAGGTCAACTAAGTATTAGATTGTTTTCAATTACACAGTTATGAATTCCATTAAACAAAGAAAAATGCAAACTGTTAAGCATTTGAACTCTCCCTGCTCATTTCCCATCATTAAAACACACACACACACACACACACACACACACACACACACACACAGATTAACTTTGCACAGGGACTCTCCAGGGGACACTCACAGGACAAACCTAGAAAATTTATTGTTTTTGAAGTCAGGAAGATGACTTTTCACCGCCACTTTTGTTTCGTTACTTTTTTGAAAAATTTACAGTTGTGTGTATCACGAATGAACACTTTACCTTCATCCCCAACAACACTCCTACAAGCACATTAACTCATTTCTCGCCTGATACATTTATCAAGAAAATGTATTCTACAAATACTTCAACCATGTTCAAAATTCATCTCCTCACCTCGGAAACATTACCAGCTGCAGCAGTGACTTACGGATGACAACAATGAATGCTTCCGTGAATATTTCTCAAAAGGCCCCTGATGAGGCTGTTGATCCCAAAAGAACTAGGGTTTCTAGGTCAAATTTATAACTATATAATCACGCAATAGCGTTTCAATCATACAAGATTTATTAGCTCAAATGTAATCCCACCTTCATGTGGTATGCAACATCCCACTAACCCATTTATGCTGAAGGTTGCATGTTGTTAATTTTTTGGCATGAAATTCATATGTGAATTCAAGGAACAA